ATCGAAAAATCAAGTGATGTTATATCTAGAAGATTTTGTAAAATATCAAAGACAAGTGATGTAAAAATATCTAGATACATGTAATATTAGACAAGTGTAGAAAAATCTAGAGAGTGAAAACAACCACTATAAATATGTTGTATGTGCTTGGTTTAGAAGAGGAACTAATCAAGAGAGCTCCCCACCAATGTTTGATAGAAACTAAGGGTTCTATCAAAGAGAGTGAGAGACATAGGCTCTGACAAACATATTTGTACAATTTACGAAATTTATAAAATTACAAATTTGTTGTATGATAATCAGTTCTATCAAACTTTCGCGTGCCCCCAAATTCTATCATGTGGTTGATTAGTACAATCTTCAACAGAAACAAAAACTTCAAATTGTTCATTAAATAATTTTTGAGTTCATAAAAACTCCTCTTAAGTTGTATGCAACTAATATAAACATCAAATTAGTCAATTAGATAAAAGTAAACTTGAACATTATTTCATTTAATAATCATGAATTCAAATCATGTCGAACAATTAATATAATCATCAAATTAGTCAATTAGTCAATAGATACGACTATTTCATGAATTCAAATCATGTCAAATAATTATTTGATGATAATCATGTTTTGGAGATTTAGGAGTAGGTACGGATAAATAATTAGATCATTTAATTTCACGATGTAATAAGATGAATTTGTATATTTAGGAGATAATGCAATTTCCTCAATTGACTATTCAGACTTCTTCTACCATATCAACGAAAATTTTACCGTAAATAACATGTAATGCTATGTACCACTAAAGTAATATACGGCTATGTACCACTGATTTTATTTATTAAGTATACTATTTATTTTTTGTAATTTTAAACAAATTTCAAATCTAGCTAAGTTGGTTGAGTGTTTCCTGTTTTCACGTACTATGATCGATTCTTTTTTCCAAATCCAGTTAGTATTTTTTTTTTCAATTATAGTGCTTATTATTTAAAAAATAGATTTTACATAATATTTAATTTGAATACTAACACTTAGTGTTTTTACATATTATTTAATTTGAATACTAACACTTAGTGTTTTTTTTTTTAAAAAAAATATTCTTTTTCCCTTCTCTAATTGCCAAAAATATGATAATATATTATTTTTCGTTTCAATTGTCTTAATTATTGTTCCATATACCATACACAAAGGGGTTTAATTCTCACAAAATATGATAAATAAGCATTTAATAATGGGATGGAGAGAATATTTATAATAGTTGTCTATTATTTTTAAGGCGATATGATAAACAAAATATGAGATCTATTAGTTTGAGCCATTAAGTCATCTAGACTAGAAAGGATGCGTAAAGCACCACAATGTTTCTTTTGCCGCATCCAATTTATATGCAATGTTGTAATTACAGCTTATGTAGGATTTGAACCTACATCTGTGTACAAAGGTACATTGCTCTACCATTTAAGTCAATAAGCTTTCAAATTCAAAATAAGCTATTCAAAAGAAAATACTACAACATGATTTTAAAAGTACAAAACAAAATCTCCACACGATAGGAAATTTATAGGAAAATTCTCAATAGTAATCCTCAATTTTTTATTTTTTATTATTTTATTTAGAGCTTGGTAACCCCCAACTTATGTAACACTAAAATGGTGACATTTTTTTTTATTATTTTACAAAATGACTCTAATTAAGAAATTTTTCCAAATATAACCTTATTTAATTAAAAATAACTATAGTTAGTTTTTTTTTATATAGAAAAAAAAAAGAAAAGAAAAACACTTCATGAAAAACAGCCACCAACCAGCCACCAACCAGCCACCCACACCACAACCTCAACCAGTCAGCCAACCTTTCGCTGTTGGCGTCCAGTACAGCTTCCCTGTCGGCGCCTATCAATCTTCCCCCAACCGCCGGCGACCTAAACCATTGGAGCACCACTGGCCAAAGCTCCAAAATCAAATCCCCCAAATTCCCTCCCCCAAAAAACTCAACTCTCTTTCTCCAATCTCCATTGAAACAGGAAAAGCTTGAGCAACTCATCAATGGCGGGACTCATTGGATTCGATCTCCTTCACCAACACTTCTTCAACCTCCTCTTCTTCTTCTTCCTATCCCTCCCCATATTCTCTCTCCCCTTCCCCTCTCCCTTCGCCGCTAACCCTACCTCCTCCGCCGCCCACTTCGTCCCCTTCCCCGCTGAAACTCACGTCCCTACCCCCTCGTAGCCAGGCCATGACACAGCGACACTTGGCATTCTAGATTTTCGCCAAGTGTTGCGCCATGTAGAAGATAAACAAGTATTATTGTGACACATATGATGTTAATTAAGCAATTTTTGGATATATTTTTTAAGACAAAATTGTTGTATAGAGTTTTATTATCGATAAAATTCTAATATTTTATATATACAAAATTAATCATAACTTTTAATAAATATCCTGTAACTCAATTCTATTTTCATCATCAAATTTGTTTTAAAAAGTTCTATAAAATAAGATCCATTTATAATATATTTAATCACAAACTTTTATAATTAGCTGGCCAAACCGTGTCACCAACTATTACAAGATCTGAGTTACTTCGTTAGTGCTATAGGGGTTACTTGGTCATTGTTATAGTGGTTACTCAGATCAATCAGTGTTATAGATAGGGTTACTTAATCAGTGTTAGAGGTTACTCATTTAGTATTACAGAGGTTACTTTGTCCGGCCAAATGGTGTGGTTAGCCGTATACAAAATGCATTGTTATTTAATTTATTTAAAAAATATTAGATAATCAGTAAAATAATTTTTAATCAAAAATAATTTTAATTTGGTAAAATATTTTCAGTTCATTGAAAATATTTTAAGTTCAATAAAAATAATTGAAGTCAATAATAATGTAGATATCTATTTACAAACAAAACTACACAAAATACACTCCATATGATATTGTAAATCTAATATTCTACATTATCAGAACAAATTATTTGACCGTATTTAGCATTCAAGTAAATATGTTATTTTAAAATTTTATCAACCATCTGGGCATCGCCCGGTCACAAAACTAGTATATTATATATTACTATAGTAATTTTATATACGAAATTAATTCGAATTTTTTATTAGTATTTTTGTAATTGTATTTACGAACACTAATTGCATCAAACTTGGGTTTATGTTCTATACGAATTTGAATTGTATCCCTCGAATCATTTAATTGTATTTTTAAATCATACATGATCGAAAAACTTAAACGGATGATTTTCCTTGCTCTTTTTGTGTATAGAATTAGGGAAATTAAGAAAGATATAAAAGACTTTCTCTCCCAATTGTCATACATTCAATCATTATTGGCTCAAATCAGTGCCAAGATGAATGGTGCTACCATATCGAAGGTTCCGGAATCATCCGATTGTAGGAGTGACAAAGAAGGCAATACCATTGGGAAAACTCCACAAGTTGAGTCATTCAATATTAGAAATATTCGTTTTAATGAGCCTATATTTTTCCCGGGTTTGGAAACATTTAAAGATTTCGAGGAAAGACTAAAGTACACAAAAGCAAAGGATAAAGCGAAAACTCCAAAAGATGGTCATGGAAGCCGTGACGCGGCATCTTTAGAAGCTGCCATGCTGGAGAGCTTGGTTGTGCAAGAAATGCTTAAGCACATGCGTCCCACGCTCTTCACTGATGATAGGATGATATGATGAGTGAGGTCCGAGAGATAGCAAAGTCTCGGATACACGCTCGTCATCATGTTTCAGGTTTTTCTTGAATTTAATGTGATCTTTGTTTTCAATTATTTCACATATCAATTGCATTGTTGTAGTGAAGAAGTGCATCACTATTTTCGGTAGGTAAAGACTACATGTTCGTTGTTAATTGCCAATTTTGTTTGTCATCATTTGGTCCTTCATTGTTACATAATTGGTAATTAACCATTAATGTTTCGGATATTACCCATATTATATTATTATCAAGATGTACACTACTCTGTTTTGTATAGGTAATGATCCTGTGTTATGCAGTAAATCTCTGTTACTCACTGTGAGAAACGTTTTCTCACAGTGACAATTTCGTAAATAAAATGTACCACCGTGACTAAAGTGGTACAATTTTATCATCCATTTCGTAAATAATATACACCACCGTGACTAAACTGGTACATTTTATTTACGAAACTGTCACTGTGAGAAACAAAAACGTTTCTCACAGTGAGTAATGGGGCGCCCTCGTATGATAAACGTTACTCACTGTGTTATGTGGGATAATACCTGTTACGATTATTTCTTAAATGTTGTTTCAAATTTTTTTCCTTTATGCTATACAAATAATACTACCTCCGTTACTTTTTAGTTGCAACAACGGAATTTTTTATATCTCACGAATAAAAAGTAATGAAGATTCTAGTATATATTAGAAAACTGCCTCAATTCGTTGATTATTGTAATTAGATGAAGATGCGGACATTATCTCTAGACCAATAAAAAGGTGCCGCTGGTGAAGATGATGAGGATGATGATATGAGCATAGGAAATGATGATTCTGGAAATGATGATAATTAAGCATTCTGGCATTCTGCTTTTGTGTTTTAATTTATGTCAAGGAAAGCTGGAAAGACATTATGACTTTAATATATTTGACAATTATGATGTTAGTGATAGAATATAAAATATATTTTTGAATCTCAACCATCAGCTTAAACTTTTGGTTAAATTGGTCCTTTAACATGGTATCGGAGCCTTGTGATACAAAGATCATGAATTCAAATCTTGTGCATCAATTAGATTAGAGTGTTTATATGATACGCGTCATCATATGCGCAATTATGTATTACGCACCGGAGAATCCAGTTGGCTAAAAGTCAATGGTTGTGTTGTCCAAAGCTAGCCGATGATACATTAAAGACAAATTTATCACAAGAATGTCGAATGATAATGATGATGATCGAATTTATTACAAGCTAATTAAAATAGTTGAATCATGTAATAACAACCATTCTTAACTTCAAACATAAGAAGTAATTAATTAGAATCAGATGCATTAATAGCAATCTTCATGCCATTTTCACAATGACCAGGAGTAGTACAGATGAAGTAACTTTGACCTGGGTCCAATCGGATTTCGTCATGCCCAGTTTGGTACACTATTGATCCGCTTGGTGCTGTGCAACTATCGTATCCTTCCTTAGTTAAGACTGCCACATTGTGACGTTCCTTGAAGTAATTAAAAACTGCAGAATAACATTAGCTTTGTATAAAACTTGATAAATTAATAAACCTTAATTATTTCTTTCTTTTTATGTATGGTATATTAATATCATAATAAGACAAAAAACATAATCATATATATTCTATATTACCGATATTTTGATTTTTGTTTTTACACTTCTAAACACATATAATTTGAGAGAAATGTATATTACTTGTAGAAAAATTTAATCAATATTAGAACTTTAAACAGACACGAGAAAATTATCAATAATTTATTTATATAATTTGATGAATGATTAGTTGCGGATCCAGATATTAATTGGGTTCAAATCAATTTTATGGATTTGTATGGGGCTAACCGGCTAAGGTTTCACGTTTGATTAAAATGTTTCAAAACACAGAAATAGTAGACTAGATATATTGTAAAAATCTCTTACCGTTGGTGTTTGTTTTATGAGGCTCCACCACTGCTAATGATAAATATGCATAATTAATTTTTTTTTCAAATGAAATAAAAGAAAATGAAATGTGTTACAGTTTTCAAAGCGCGAATTTGATGATTAAATCACAATCAAAAGAAACTCATAAATAGAAGTGAAAGTAAAGAGAGAAAGAAATTAAACTAACTTAGGAGATCAGCATCTTTGAAAGACTTTCCATTAGGCCAATTCTCAACATTATAAGTCCATCCGGCTGTGTCACCTACTTTGTATTCAGCGGCAAAGATAGGCTTGGCAGCAAGAAGGTACAATAATATGCCAAGCAACACACCTAGTCTGGCACTACTACCACTTCCCTGAGCCATTTCAAACAAATCAAAAAAAAAATATATATATATATATATAATATATATATAGACCTTGATAGAGATTAGATAGATGAAAAATGGTTTTGAATAATAGTTTTTAGAAATCAAAAATTAATATTTATAGAGGAAATTTTCTCGTTGATTATGTTGTAAGAATTTATAACGAAATAAATTGTGGCTTTCATACTAGGTGGACACATTGATAATGTGCATGTGGTTGGATTAGGATCAAATTAATTTTAAGAAAAACTCATATCACAAAGGATATTGCTTCAAAAAAAATCACAGACGATACTATACAATTTTCTTTCAAATATGAAGGAAAAAAAAATCAAAGAGGATCTATATTCGAATAAAGTAACAATGCATGATCTGTGCACCTGAGTGCACTTGGTTAAATAAAAAAAAAAGGCTGAAAGAACATTTAGATGTTTGAAAAAGAACATGCAGGTTTTTGAAAAAGAACATGTTTGTGTTTAACAAAGAACAAGCATTATTAAAGAACATAAAGACATTACAAAAAGAACGTGATAAAAACTTTATTAAAATTTTATGAAAAATTACACATTAACTGAAAAAATATTTACCAAAGATATCATATCCCCAAAATTTGTTTTTTCTCTCTCCAAAAATTAACTTTCCATAATAATTTTAGTTTTCTCTCTCTAAAATATTTTCAACTAAGAAAAAACTAAGATTTCATTTTCAAATTAAATTTCAAAATTCAAAATAACATATGTTAAAAGAGCATAAAATATAAAGTAAAGAACATATAATTCATACCCGAACAACACACTGATCAAACTCAAAGAACATAAGATAATAAAAAATAATGATATATGATAATATAAAAAAGAATTTGTGCGTCACTCGTGACCTCAAAGAAAATATACGAGCCAAATTCAAAGAACATACTTTGTATTATTGAAACCCAAAAATGTTTTAAAAATGAAAAATGTCCATTAAGGATAATAATTTAAAACTAAAAGCAGTTTAAAGGGAATACTTCCCTATAATTTAGCCCAGATTTTTTATTTTTTTATTTTCCACTAATTTTTTTTTTATTTTTCACTAATTTAATGCTAATTAGTTATGCCACATCACCAAGTGCACCATGAGCATGGTGCACCCTGGTATATTATACAATTTTCAATAAAGTAGTTATATTGTTTGCTTTTATTTTCTTTGAAGAAAATATTTGTTAGATAGCTTATAATTTGGATACTTTTAAAGGATCATCTCAACCAAAAGGTTAATCTAGTAGTTGAGGCCCAAGAATATGTTTTATACTCTCCCCCTCACACAAGAGTCCTTTGGGGTTGAAATGTGGATGCAGCATGGGCCCTCCGCATACCCTACGCGAGATATTCCACTTGAAGTGGGGGTGGATGAGATTTGAACCCATAACTTTTGTGTCACACTAGCTCCAACACCATATTAAATTAATCTCAAAGTATTTAACTGTATTTCTCATTCTTCACATCGGTCACACACATATATTTATAATTAGGTATACTTGGTGAGCAATGCCAAATATTCCTACAATAATTCACAATCAGTGCGTCTTGTGTGCGGCTAACCACACTATGTGGCTACTTGTAAAAGAACAAAGTAACTTCTATAACACTGATCGATTAACCCCTTAATACTGACTGAGTAACCACTAAGTAATCCCTATAATACCATCGAAGTAACCCCGTAAAACTAAATGAGTAACACCTATAACACTAACGAAGTAACCCTTATGATGGATGGCCACATCGTGTGGCCAGCCACATATAAGACTTTGTGATCGGGAAAAGGTATAGAGTGACCAAAAAGATAATTTTGCAAAAAATTTTGAAGATATTGAATTATTTAAACAAATTATATACTTGCTTATACCAAATATTATTTGGACATCATAGAATATATTAAAGTTGATAAAAAAGTCTTTCTTTTTTGTAATAAATTAAAGGTCAAATTAGAAAATAACACCTGCTAAAGACCCCAATTTTGATAATAACACCTGTTGAAAAAAAAGTTTTATTATAACACCTACAAAAATCCCAAAATTTTGGTTTCACCACCCATTAACGGACTTTTGGATGGAAACCGTTAGTGGGGCCCGTCATGTATACGTGTCAGCTATGTATTGGTTTTAAAAAAAAAAGAAAATCTAAAAAAAAAATAAACCTAACCCCCTAACCCAGCCAACCCCACCACTGGCACCACCTGCCCCAGCCAAGCCAGCCGCCGGAACCCTCCTAACACCCAGCCAGCCCCAGAAACCTCCTCCCCTAACATCGACAACCCTTTCCCTAACGCCGGCACCGCCCGATATCCCCTCTCCTAACACCATCACCGCCCTAAACCCCCTCCCCTAACACCGACAACTCCCAAACCTCGTCCCTTAACACCGACATTCCCCAAAATAGTTAATTTCGTTCGCCTCCACCGCGAAATCGACAGATCTGGGGCTTCTAAGGTCGATTTCGGCCGGTTTGAAGGTGAGGGGTAATTCCAGGGGTGGTTTTCGGTGAGGGGGCGAAGGGGCTAGGTGATTTTCGGCGAGGGGGCGAAGGGACTAGGTGGTTTTCTCGGCGGGGCTGTGGTGGGTGGGGGTGTTTTTCGGGGAGAGGGAAGGGGAAGGGGATTTGTGGGGGGGGGCTAATGTCGGTGGGGGTGATGGCTGGTGATTCCGCCGGTGAAGGAAAGGTTTCCGGCGGCAGTGGGGGTCACCGGCGGTGGAGTGACGGCCGCCGGTGCTGGCTCTGGTGGCTGGGTTAGGGTTTAGGGGTTTTTCTTTTTCTTTTTTTTAATTTTACTTTTTATTTTTATTTATCTTTTTTTTAAACCAGTACCTTATTGATACGTGTACATGGCGGGCCCCACTCACGGTTTCCATCCAAAAGTCCGTTAGTGGGTTGTGAAACCAAAATTTTGGGATTTTTGTAGGTGTTATAATAAAACTTTTTTTTCAACAGGTGTTATTATCAAAATCGGGGTATTTAGCAGGTGTTATTTTCTAATTTGGCCTAAATTAAAACGAATAGCCAAATGAATATGAAAGATTATAATATTATATTATTAGTAAATGTTATACAGTACATATACAAGTATACAACCTATCAAAAAGTACTTACAATGTTTAGTCCCAACCATGCTCAACAAATGCATAAAATAATAACATTAATCATAATTTACATGAAATGACATGAGGTATACATAATACACCACCTCCCCTCCTTTTTCTCTATTCTCTCTATTGTCTATTCCTCCTTAAATAACCTTAATATTTTTGTTGTTCTAAGCTAGGACTGGGAATACCACCAAGCTTTTGGTTGATGGTTAGCCCTTAAATCTCTTGTTTTCCTTCTAGTTTTATATTATGCTCATAATATTTATTCTTTCTCTCTCTATTAGAGAGTTTTTCTTCCAATTTTGGGGTTATATCCATTCGTATATCAGGATTAATTTCTCTCTTTGTGAGAGTTATTTGAGGCTATGTATTTTAATTATGCAGGAAAAATTGTTTTTTTTTATGAGAATTTGTGCAATCTCATTAATGATGAAAGTTAATTCTACAATCAATTGCATGAAATATTGTTGTTCGATTTCAAAAATACATTAGATCGAAAAAAGACCCCCTCGTGAAAAGTTATTGTATCAAACAATGATGTATGTGAAAGAGGGTATATATTCGTCAATATGAGATCTAATATGAGATTTTGTAGTTTTGCCGCCCAATTAGAAGATTATTTGATCCAATTTCTATTTTATTTGCTAGTCTTGAATTATATTGTAGACATTGATGACTCTAATAGTCTAATCAATGAATTAGTTTGACTTTTCAAAAGAAAAATGACATAGGTATCATTAATGCCAATAATTCCTTCTCGTTCTTTTACAGTTCATCTACTTGTGGAGAAGCATGTTAGTTCTAATATAATGCATCAAACGCTAAATGAATTTTTATGTACCTTATATTTATGTGACGCCATATCATGCTCACACAACCAATTGATGGTATCCCATGTTCATACTAACTTCTTTTGGCTTGAATTGACAAACTTAAGCACTCTGGATAAGTATAGGGCTAAATGTTTGACCCTAAGCTAGACTAGGATTTTGTACACCCGGGTGTCTCATGAGCCTGACAAAAACGACACTGCCCAAAAATAAAACGCAGGCAACAAACAAATTAAAAAAAAAACGCGGAAAGAACATACGACTTTTAAACAAAGAACATTCAGCTGAAAAAGAACATGTAGATGTGAAACAAAGAACGCGAGTTTTTTTAGGTACATTCATTAAATTTTGGAAAGGAATCAACCAAATCCCACATTAATTGATACAATATTTTCAAAAAAATTAAGGTTCCAGAATAATTTTCTTTTTTCCAAAACTATTTTCTTCAAAATATTTCAAGATTTTATTTTAAAAATTCAAAATTCAAATTCGAAAATTCATTTTCATATTTAAAATTTCAGTTACCAATATTTTATTTGATTTTCTTTAGTTTAAAAAATCTCTACCAAAATCAATCATATTCTTTCAACAATTTTTTTTTATGTAAGTATTATAATATTCGTTATAATAATAATGTCATGTGTAAATCTTGTGATGATCTTTATATGTTTTTATAATGTTCTTTATTAGAAAATATGATGTACTTTATTTTTGTATGTAAAGTACAATTAATTATTAGCACTATTTTTCTTCCATATGTCCACTACTAATATTATGATCTCTATTAGATCTTTTGATAAAGTATTTTAAATGTCCATGTTTTCTAACTATAATTGTAATGTACATTTATTGTAACATAATATTCATTGCTTACTGTGAATATGTTCTTTAAATTTTTGTTTGGACCATCCTTGTTAAATTTAAATATTTAAATTTAAGTAGTGCTTATTACATAATATAATCATGTTCTTTATAAATGTTGTGGATGTTCTTTAATTTGGATCTGAAAATCAATCATCAATATATGATGTCCAAAAAGAATATTTCCATCAACCATTGTGATCCTGGAAAAAAAATGTACACAATTATTTAATGTTATTAACATAAAAAAAATATAAATTTAATAAATAATATTCAAGATGAATAGTTTAATAATTAAAAGAGATGTAAAAACTTTTTAAAATAATTGGTGCTATATCACTCAATATCCAAAAGAACATAAGAGTTAAAACAAACAAACGTGAACATAGAAGAATATATTATTCAAGTAAAAAGAACATAGTTCATATTATTGATACCCAAAGAACATTATACCTTAAAGAACATAATTTGTAATGTAAAGAACATATAGTTTAGATTCAAAGAACATATTAATTGGACTTAAAGAACATATTCCATTACAATTAACAAATTGAATGCGTGATAAATGAACATTCATCATAATCAAAAGAACATCATCTTCAACCTTTAAAAATTATACAAAAACAGTAAAAAAAACAAAAAAAAAACAAAAAACAAAAAACAAAAACAAAAAAAACAAAAACACAAAACACAAAACAAAAACAAATTCCTTTGATTATGAAATCCACAAATTATGAAATTTAATAATTTAAGAGAACATTATCATTAGCATCAACATTGTAATTATAATTATTAAATTTTAATACGAAAAAAACCTAAATATATATATATATATATATATATATATATATATATATATATATATATATATATATATATATATATATATATATTACCTTCACATTTGATTATGAAATCCTCAAATTCATCTTCATAATTAACCAAATCTTCATTCTCATACGTATTATCAACAAATCTATAATGGAATCATGTCGAATTTCTTACACCCCGCCATTAATTTTCTCTGCTAAAAATTTTCTCTCTCTTGGAATTCTCCCTGTATTTCAAAATTGTAATTGTGTCTCTCCAAAAATATCAAATCTATTTTGAAAACTATTAATATGGAGAATAAATAACAAATCCCTTAAATTAAGGAGGAATCATTTAAAAAAAAAAAAAAAACTAATTTGAAGAATGCCTTTATTTTTTACCGGGTGTACCGTGAGCATGATACACCCTTGGTGTACTATGCAAATTTCATAAATTAATAGTCTCTTCGTATTATTAACTTTTACTCACTTTTTGCTTTCATCCATTTTTCAAATTCTACTCACTTTTACTTTTTTCTGTTATAACAAATTTTCATTAAAATTATATCATCTACAATCCTGCTATGTCAGACCCAATTTTATATAAATATGTTAATTTCTATCTCTCTTCTAATGGTGGATCCAGTAGTATGGGTACAATGAGTTAAGATGAACCCATATTGAATCCGATAAAAATCTAGCAAGTTTTTTTTTATTGATTAAAGTACTATAAATACAACGCATTTCATTGTATAATGCTTTGAGCAGCCCAACGATTGCATCGCCTAATTTTGCACCAAGGGTCGCAGGTTTCGATTATGCCTGAACCTTTTTTATGTTAATTTGCTTTTAACTTTTACTTACCTTGTTGGCTTACTGCCCCAACCCCCAATACAACAAATTAAGCTTAAACTTTCAAGATTTCCAACAAAAATGTATAAGTTTAATTTAGGAAAAATAATTTTAAATTAGTAGTAATAATTAAAAAAAAAAAACTTTTAAGGACAAAAATAATAGAAAATTGTTGAAAATAAGTGTTAATCGGTAAAATAATATCATCAATAGTAAACTAGCGCAATAGGGTTCAAGTAAAGTTCATAATATGATCACGTCACATAAATGTGGGGTTCAGATTGTGGCTTTTGATTGCTCTTGGGCTGGTTCTTCACATTAATCACATATCCAATATCGAGATAGACCGACAAAAGTTAAAAACATTTCTTGGGCATAACACGGACCGGCATGATAAGCACATACGAAGTACGGAGTACATATTTTTTAACTTGGGGTAGCACTGAACCATTAAACCATGTAGTATGTCCAACTATATATATATATATATATATATATATATATATATATATATTATTGACAGACTTAACATTACTATTTCACTAGAGCTAAATGGCTAATATGTTTTCTATTAATAAATAAATAAATAAACCACGCTTCATAATATAGTCCAACTTCAATTCTTTCAAATAAATAAAAACAAAAAATCCAATAACTTATTACAATGATATAACAGATAATCAATAATCAAATTTTAAGAAATAGTACATCAAGAAATTCACAAAATAAAATCTTGTACTCTAATTTTCTTATTCGTGTGCTCAAAACCTTTGTATCAAGCTCGCCTTTCATCTTAAAAAAAATCAATTGTATTTTTTTACACTTGCCAAAGAATGAATAATTTTTGCTGTAACTAACTAACAAAAATCTCTCAATATTTTTCAGTATATTTTCCTCAGTATAATTAAGTATTTTTTCTGTCGTGTCCCTCAGTATAATTAACTAATCACACTAATGCTTTACGTTCTTCTAGTATTAATTTGATTATATTAGCAAGTGATTCACTTGCTAATTTAGGATTATTACGCGGTATAACCTTAATCACCTTTGTCTTCCGCTCATTGCTACAATTCTTTATAGGTTGTCCATTATCTACTGTTGTAGGTGTAGTAGGAAATAAAGGAAGTGCACCATTAGAAGTTTTGATCTTCTTATTAGGACTACTTTCTAAACTTTCGAGCTTTTCACTCTCATTCACTTCACCCAAATTTCTAGGACCATTACTTATAAATGAGCTCGAGTTTACATCGTAGAAGCTCATATGCTTAAATGTTGATGTGGAAGCGAGTGGACTAATAATAGACATACCATAAGGTGCAAAGTATGAGGGATCCATAGGACTAGGAGCAACACCGTGAACTCCAATTTGCGAGTTAAGATATTCCTCGTTCCCTAAGGTGGTAGTAGGGTTTGTAGGCCTAAGATCGTTGGAAAGAGTAGGAAAGAAACCTCCGGGAGGAGGAGGAGGATTCAGGTAGGGCTTGTACACGAGCCCTTCCGAAGGAGATATCACTGGAAGCAACCATTGGTTTCCAGGCGGCGGAAGACACCACATAGACAAATTAGTATTTGTCTGTTTACCAAAATTTGTAGCCAAGCTTGTTATGTCGGAGCTTAGGGAAGGAAGGGGTAGATTTTCGATTGCATTGTCGACAACACCTTTGATCTTCGATACTTCATTTTTCGATTTTTCATGCCATGATGGTGCCTCTTGAATAGATTTGGGTAATAATTTCTTCATAGTAGGTTCAACAAGTGAATTACCCAAGGATAAGGGCTCTTTCTTCTGCAAATTTCCGCAACTAGCCAACATCTTTTGCACCTGTTGAATACTTGAATTATAAGATGAATTATATATGACATAATAATCTTCTTCATGAGATAACATATATAAGAATTGAACACATAAAATATAATCACTATGACCTAAGCTAGATTACCTTTACAATCCTATGCAATTCGAAAACTTGCTTGGAGAAAATTCTTTGTTGACTACAAAAGTAAAAGAATGAACACAATATCAGCGCGATTCTAATTAAATAAATTGACAAGTATCTACCATCAATATTCAATAACATATTAGAATAAATTCATCTTTCCTCAATATTTAGCTACACCTTTTTTTTTTCTCCAATTGGCCCAAACTTTTTTATCTTACTAAGATAAATTATTTATTTCAAGATATTTATTAGAATTTTGTCTTGTTGGCATGTTGTACTATCTAATTTCTAGTTAATTATTACAAGACTTGTAGTAATTTGATTTATAAGTGCAAAACATTCAAAATGCCACCTTTAAACCCTATTATTGAAATTATTGCATCCTTAAGTCCAGTAATCGTGGTAATAGAATTATTGAAATATGATAATCTAGATTATCCACCAAAAGTTAGAATAATCTAGCATTAATAGAGTAGGAAAAGATCGTTTATAATAAAATAATAGAAAATTCTAGTTAAATATGCTAGAAAAATCTAGAACAAGCTACGTTTATGATTTGCTAGAGCAAAAAATCGACATATACTTCCTCCACTATAAATACATGTATTGTGTTAGTATAATGCAATGCAAGGTAAGAAAAACAATATCAAATAATAAAGGTCAACTTTCTATTACATTGCACTCTCTTGTTCCTCCAAATTATAACCATCATTGATCATTCAACAAACTATTTTGATCACAAATACTTCTAAAAACCCACCAACTTTATCAAAAGTAATTTTTAAATATATAAATAAATCAATGCCTAAAAATTGTTTCAAATCATTATTATTTTGAAGGGTGCATCATAAATGTATTATATTTTGAGGGAAGAAACAAATGGTATTTATGAAAAAATGAAAATAGGTGGTTGATTGTAATAATTAATTTGCTTTTTAAAAAAATAATAGTGTGGAAAATTATAGTATTTGAAACATCCTAATAACAACCAATGCAAAATATAATCTAATAAACGAGAAGTTTGATGCAATATTTTAAAAATGAAAGGAATGTAAACTTACTCAATAATTTCTTTCCTTGCTTTCCAAAAATGATTTTGACCTATCATCTCTACAACAAGATTCGGGGATATGACTCCATGCGACGCACATTCCTTTAATGAAGTGTGTGAATAATCACCATGTTCAAAATCGACCATACCAGTCCTATTTTGCTTTTCTTCGCATTTATTACCATCTCCAACACTAAGAGTTTGACGATGAGCATCTGTAAAGGGAGATTCATTACATGATTCACTTCTTAATATTGAAGTATTGTTAGCTATTGTGGTTCGTGGCTCTTCAATAGTTACACCCATGTACACTTTATCTACTTCATTGGATATCATACCCACATGATCTCGATCTTTGTTGATGTCGATTTGATCTAACTCACTATCTTTGTTTGGAAAATTTGAGACAGCAGACTTATGATCTGATGGCTCAATTTTTTCTTCTTTGATCAAAGGCATTAAAGAAATTTTTGGTAATAGTGTATGATCACTAATTTGTGAAATTTGATGATCTAATTTTCCATCATGCTCATCGTTGCCTTGAGGGAAACTAAGTAGTGTCTTACTGTTTTTGTGTCCTACCTCAACCACCTTCAAGTCATCTTTATTTGAATATGTATTTACCTTCTTTGCACTAGTTGTTTGTAGCTCTAAGGAACAGCTCACATCAACCAAATTTTTGTCCTTTGAACCAGATTGAGTTTTACTGGAACTTAAACTCAATTGTGGATGGACAATGGATGGTAATCTAAGATTAGACTCAACATTATGTACACAAGGCCATTTCGATTGTGAAGGGTTGTTTGGCTCAAGAAACGTAATGGGTACTTTCGACAATTGACAATCTTCAACCATTGATCTCTTAAGGGGATTTCCATTTGTATTGCCTGAAATTCTTTCATAAGGACGTGAATTTTGCTTTCCAATTGAGTGATTTGCGGCATGAGATTTTTTTCCTACAGAAAACAATTCTCTTTCGGCACCAATAACCTATAATCCATCAAATAAAAAATGATGTGTTACACCATTAAATTTACTATCAGTTAGAAAGGTTAGGTCAATGAAGTATCATAATGATATAATAATACATATAATCTTACTTGATACATCCTATTGATTTATAAGGTCATGTATGTCTATGGACAAATAAACATACCATTCATTGAAAATCAAATACTACCTCCGTTAAATGTTATGTGCAACTTTGGAATATTTTATGTCTCACAAATAATACCCTAAAGTTGCACATAATATTTAACGGAGGTATTATAATGTATAACTTATGCAAATTAATTAACATGTGTTACTTCGAAATTCAATTTTAAAATAAGTAAAATAGAACATGCTATATATTATAAAAAAGTCTCGACACATAAATTATAGTAGTATAGTTACTCAAATAATACAACAATTACTAAAATCGAATTCACAATAATGATAAAACTAAATTAACTCACTTGGCTTGAAGACAACATATTCGCTAGCATCCGGCCATGAACAGGCGGAGGAGGTAATGTCGTCGATGCTGGTGTATTGCTAAACCTTTGAGAAGGAATCGATAGTTGTTCGTAAAGAGCCATTTTGTTTCTAGGAGGTGCCCTCGGCCCTAATCTTTTGGTATCATCTACATGAATCCTAGGAAACAGAGGTCCTGTGATCTTACCCTCGGGTTTTCCTCTTATTAGCCTTTCCGTTTCCATTAAACTTGTTATTGAACAACTTACTTTCAAAACTCGCCTCTTCAAACAATCGCCTCACTCGAAGTAGAGTGAGGAAAAAAAATTACAAATCTTTAGCTTTGTATATCAACTTTTACCAATGTTAACCTCGATCTCAACTTAATTATTAGACACAGTGTTATGGGAATTTCTTACAACGATCACGAAAATGGCACCTTTCAATCCTAAAAATAAGAGTCTTCTGTACGAAAAAGCAATTTTGTAAAAGACAAATAAATGTCTAACAAAACCAAAAGCCAAATTCAATCAATATCCCAGAAATCTTGTGTATTTCAACAATACTCTATAACACTTCAATAAACAATCAACTAGAATAAGTTACCAAATTTTAAAATGTAAATGTAGATTTAAAAAAATGATTGAGATCGAGACAAAAAAGAAAAAATTAACTAGGAAAAATTTAGTTTGAGATAATAACAATAATAATAAAAAGAAACAAGTTATATATTTTTATTATCAAAGGATAGTGAAAGTGTAAGGATTGTAAGACCCAAGTGGAGAGACTAATACAGTTTTCTCACTATAGTTTAGGCTTAAAATTAGTTTAGGGAAGAAAATTTCTAACTGTATGAGAAATTGTGTGGTGAATTATGTATTAGTTAGTTGTAATTTTTACCTATTTTAATAACAGAAAATCATGTAAGTTTAAGATCCCGTTTATTGTGTGGCTTTACTAATTTACTTCATTCTCAAGTTTTATAATGATACGTATAACGGTTGTACCACTTGCATGAACAAAAATATTATATTTCGCAATTAATTTTTCTTTGAAATTATTTAAGATTTAATTTGTTGCCAATCCTTTTTTATAGGGACCGAGATTTAGGCCTATGTTATTGTCAAAAAAGGGTTTTAATTTTTATGTGAGTATTATTTGATTCAAGTATGATTTATAAGAAATAAACCACTAAGATTTAGGAGTTATTATTGTTCATGTTTGTTAAAAGTACCCAGGCCTTATAACAAAAGGTTTGACTCCGAAGAAAATGGTTCTTAGTTTTTTTTGTTCTTCCGTACCATCAAATACTTAAAATAACCTATATTTTTGTTTTATATTTCTTAAATATTGCATGTTTAAACGGAGATTTATAATTGATTTTTATTTAATTTTTTTATTTTATATGAAAAATCATTTGTGTTAATTGTGTAACGAGATTAAATTAATTGGTGCCATATAATGTACTAAGGTTCCATTACAAAATATTAAAAATATACTATATATTGAATATTTTTAGCGAAATGAGATCAAAAGGTTTCAAATGTGTAAGATGTCTCATTTTTTGTCTCGTACAGAAAATACTTAATTTATGAAATAAAAAAAATTATGCAATTAACTAGTTCAAAAGATATGAACATCCATATTAAAAAAATTGTGCATGCATCCTTCTTACCCTTCTCGCCATAATGTCATCTTTATCAATAGTGCTCCCTGCATTCATAATTATCGCAACATTTTGACTTTTTCACTATTTATATGCTTACTTTAACCATACTTTTTGCCAATATATAAAAATATATGTAGCCATTTTAATATTTTAGATTAGTCATTATGTATATTTACATCACATTAAAATTTTATAATTCTTAATAATATGTAATTACAAATATTAATGGTCAAAGTTGAGCATTGAGATGTGTGTCAGTGAAACTGTTGCGATTATTATGAAATGGAGGGTGTATTCTTCTCAGTTATTCTCATTTTTACTCACTTTTCATATTCATTTGTTTTTCTAGAGATATACCCTTATTTAAATTTTTTTACTAAATGGAAATCTTTTATTTAGTTAACTAGATGATCCCCGAGCGAATGCTCGAAATTTTAGGTTATTTGCAAGTGAAAAAAAAAAATTAAACAATGCGAGAGAATTAAGTAATACGGTGTAGATAAAATAAAAAATCAAGAAAAAAAATTATACACCGATAGCAATCCACACAAATATGATATTAGTCATTAGAGATGAAAAAACAAAGAAAATTGATAGGCCTTCGTCGAGCCTACCAAATATAAAAACCTAACTTGGTCTCTCTAATGGGTAGAAAGGGCAAGCAAGGGTCGATCCCACAAGGACTAAGGGGAGCACTAAGTGAAGTCTTTTTTTGGGTTATGAGTTATAAAGAAAAACAACAAACGATAATAAAAAGGATCTTGGGAAGGTATCCACCAATCAAGTCATTCACAAATTACAAACATACAAGCTAGACATAGCAATTTAGGGATAAATTAGGGGAAGTCATCTAAGGCACCCAACTACTCTCTCGAGCTAGAGGGATTACTTGAGTCATGCATACAACCTACTCTCGTGGTTACAAAGCATAGATACAAGTTTTAAAGAATAATCAAGATGACATAAACGTTCCCTAGACTAGAATTTCCTATTCACATGGCATTTTAAGTCAATTAAGAATAAGGGAGCTGATAACTCAATTTCATCACTCGATCCTTGGTTGAGAAAGCTTAGATAAATAGTACTAGAAATGGCCACTAACAATGAAACCACTTAAGCTCAACTAATTAATTAACACCCCACATTAGCTAAATCAACACATGCAAACAAATATTTCTGTCAGATAATATAAAACTCCTTAATCAGAGTGATTTCCACTAATCAATATTTATAGGGTTATATTGAAAGTCCTAATCATATTAGGTAACTAACAAGATATGTAAAGATATCATAAAGATATTCTCATACAAAATATATCCTAAACCTAAGAGGAGAATATTCTACATTTATTCTCTATGAGATATTCTCTATCACATCTCTGCAGTCAGAGCGGGAGAAATTCGTATGCTCAGACTGGATCTAAATCCTGCATCGAACAGAGAAGGATATTATGGTAACCCATGATCAAAAGGAAAAGCAACAATAATGTGTCGATGATGACGAGAAGAAGCAACAACCATAATCTATGTAGAAGAGAGAAAACCGCTCCTAGGTTTGAGGATAGAGAGAAGAGCCGTGCGCAAGCTGTTACAGATCTGGAGAAGAAGAAGGTATCGACCAACATTGAGGAGAAGACACTGCTATAGGATATCATCATTGAAGAAAAGAAAATAAAGGTGTTGTACCGATGCGTTTATAAGCCTTTTGGCTGACAGTGTTGTTGCTAGACTGTTGTGGCACGCCAAAGGCGGCTGCACACGGCTAGAAGAAGGTCCATCTCTTGAAATATGTTATAGTGTTGTGTTGCCATAACGGAAAACAACATTAAATTTAAGAGAACAACTAATAATGTCACGCAAATCCAAAATAATAGAGAAACTCGACAACATGATGAAGAAGAGGACTATATAACGGACAAGACAGAAGTCCGCAAGGCCATGTTGGGAGATTGTGAAAATTATGGTACATCACTAAGTGGATAGTGTGATCCACATATAGACTCTAAGAAAAAACTTTGAGAAAGGAAAAAAAAATATTTATGTGTTTGCGAAAGCGTAAAAAATTGTGTATATCCCACCTGTGGGTTTAATTATCTAACCCACTGCCAGGGTGAAAATTTTCGTATATGATTCCAAAATCTTACCTAAGCTCTAATACCATGTCAAATAATATAAAACTCCTTAATTAGAGTGATTTTCACTTATCTATACTTATAGGGTTATATTGAGAGCCCTCATATTAGGTAACTAACAAGATATGTAAGAATATCATATATAAAGATATTCTCATACAAAATATATCCTAAACCCAGGAGGACAATATTCTATAGATATTCTCTATCAAATTCATCAATGGTTTCAACCATCCCAAGTAAAAGAAATACTCACAAATCATAATAAATTGCAAAACTAAAGGAATTAGCAATAATTATAACATGGATTTAAACACTATTCTAACATAAACAAGTAATTAAGAAATAAGGATGAAAATATAAAAAAATAAGTAAATAAAGTAACAAATAGGAGAGAGTAAGAAATTCCCATTGATATTACAAGGAGAATTCAAATCTCCAAGTCTCCTTCCTTCAATTCTTCATATTCCAAGCTTTCAACATGTTTCTCTCACTTTCTCTCTCTAGAAAACGAGAGTTTCTCTCTCTATAAATTCTAGCTAAAAACTACGGAAAAATTCTCTCCCCTTAAAACTAAGCGTAGGAGTCTATTTATATCACCCTTCAATTACATAGAAAGCACCAAAAAAACAAAAAAAAAATCGCAAGAAAGCAGAGGTGTGGCCTCTCCAAGGGACTAGAAAGGTCTCGCCACCTTAAACAGGTGATGGGGAGAATTTTTAGCAGTAGAGAGGTGTGGCCTCTCCAAAGGAAGGTCACGGCCACATCAAGAGGAGCGGCCTCTCCAAAAGACAGATGCGGCTGCGCCTCGCGCGTCAGCACTTCATCAAAATCTTCAAACTATCATAACTTCTTCATTACTCGTCGAAAAAAGTCATGTGACCATTTATTGGAAAGATCTAAAGCTGAAATTTAATATCAAATTTAAATCACCTTAAAATGTTGAGTAGAAAAAAAATTATGGTCAATTGAAGTTGACCTTTGCGCATAAGTCCTTCTTAAACTCTTTCAAATGCACTTATAAGACATTCTTTCATGTATCTTTCATATCTCCGTCAACCCGTGCTTGCCTCTTTCCTTATCCTTACGTCCTCAATCAATCCATAGACTTCATGGGTGCCAAAATGTGCTAAAATGCATCAAAAATACAAACAAAACCCGTGAAGCATGCAGGACAAAAAAATTGCATTAATATAGAGTAAATAATGAATTATGATGTCGATTTATCATGAAAACAAGGTTTAAAACTACCCTAAATCATACCAAATAACAAGTTATCAAAAATCTCCATGGTGACCTTGAATTATTAAAGAAGCATAATTTGAAATTAATTTCCCTTAGACAATGAATATTTTGTCCACCGACCACCATATTAAACCCATAATACTTATCCGTAGAAATCAACTGCAAAAAGTGATATAGATTACCTTTTAATTTATTTTTTG